ATTTGCCATCCCACTCTTATAAAGCATAACAAAATTTCTGGTCAAAAGAGCAGCTCACACTAAGGAAGCAGAGTGTGTACTTGAAAGGTGTTTTAAAACAGTTTTAAGTATTCATCACAATAATTATATCAATGGAAAAGGTTGGTTCATTGTCGACTAGCCATACCTGAAAGAAAGTCTGTGTCTAAAATTGAGCTTTGAAGGTGTTTAGCTTAAAGAGCATGAAAGAGGTTTGAAAGACCAGACTATGGATAAAAGAATATCTCATTACATTTGTTTCGGTGGTAAGAGGTTTTAGACATTTCATATAGAAATGGTGAATTTACACGGACATTGTGAGCAAGACACTTGGTATGTGGGTCATTTAGCAAGAGAAATAAATGCTTTATCTAGCTTTTTTGTGGCTTCTGTGGGGCCAGTATAGTTTGAAAAATAGTTTGCTGATTCTACTTACAGCCTCTGTGTTTTGATATATAGTTAATAGTCCCAGAAAACTGATCTCAGTTTTGCTTTTTTTTCTCCCAATGTCGCTATTCAAACACTAGTGAATGGTTTGGTCCCCAGGTTCTGGAGATACTAAATAATGAATGTATGGATTGGGAGAAGGGTGAGGATTAAAGAGCTGCATTTACACGAAGTGTGGAAAAGCAGTCTCCAACAGTGTGCGCATGAAGTAGACACCTACTTCACGTCAACCCACGCTGCCCTAGCGGGATGATTCATTCTACTTTGTGAGCATCAAAAGTCTTTTGGCTATGCCAAAGTAGGAATTCAACCACCAAGCAAATTTAAATACTTATTTACAAAGGAATCTATCCTATTTACAGGTTCATGAAAATCCCCAAGGTCAGAAAAGTCAAGGAGTGGATTCAATCTGTGGAGTCCAGTGCCAGAGTGGTTAGATATGAACTTTGTCATTAAGGTGATGGCTTTAGGAATAAAATGCCCTTGATTACATAAATAAATCTTGCTTTAATTTTCTTGGAAGAATTATAATCCAAAAATAGCTAGTGGTCACCACAGGGGCCTAAAACCATTTGGCTTGGCATTTTAAATTGCAATGGTGAAAAGGTAAATGGACATCTCTTCAGAGAAGTCAATAAGGGCCATGCCTAAGCTTCCAAAAGCCAAAGACAACACAGGGGCCTGACTCTTGAGGTCCAGTCATTTTACCCAGAACTATTGAGGTTGGCCAAGAGCCATCAAGGAAATGTTCTGTAGCACCATGATCAACAAGACCAGCAACATGCCCATTTTGCTGTATGACTTTGAGCCTTGCTAGAGTAATGAAGCTCCCATAAAGCTGACGTTTCAATACATTTTTAGTTCCTTTACAGGATTAACCATCACTTTTGCTTTTCATGCATATTATTGTTTTATTTATAAGATTCATAGACATTGATATAACCTTTTAATTAAACCCACCATGGGAGAAGACTGTGCCATGGAAATAATATGGGTTCAATCAATTCTTCTTCCTGATAGTCTGCTGTTTCTATTTATAGCTTGAAAAGCTTTGATATTTTATTTGTTTTATTCCTACTTTATTTTATGTATCTTGTTTTATATTCCATGAATCAAGGCAAAGTCAAATAAGCCAAGGGGAAAAGATGGCCAGATGGATGAATAGGTGAATAATGCTTGATAATTGGTTGATTTATGCATTGAGTAGAGGAAACACCAACCTACAGTTAAAGAATGTCTAAATACATGTTCCTCTATGAATATACACATATATGCACAAAACATTATATATGTTGTCTGTGGGAATACATTCTTACATCACAACCAAAACAACAACAGCCAATAGTCACTGCATGCTGTCTTCAGTATTTAACCTAAAGGTACTTTATATGGCATTAGTTTAATTCATCCACATAATAGGTGCTATTATATTATCCCTATTTTACCTTAAAGTGAAACTGAGGCACACCAAGGTTAAGTAACTTGGCCTATGTTACAAAGGTAGTGACCCAAAGAGAATGTGAACTTGGCTTCTCTGATGCTCTGTGTACACCTCAGGATATGCGCAAAATGATTCATTAGTTTATGGATGGTAATATTTGGGACCATGCAAGCCTTATTTAAGCTATGAAAAATTAAGCTTAGCTAAGACTTAATGTACAGGCTGACACTGGTACTTCTCCTACCGTGGTCTGCATATCAGAGGATCACATGTCATGAAGTGGAGACGCCGCATCCCTGGGGACTGTGGGAGTCCTACACACAGACTCTTAGAGAGTGGGGCCATTCTTGTTAGTCCCCTTTCACAGAAGATTACTTGTGATCAGTTAAAAGAATTATGGGTACATTATCTCATTTTTACTTAACTAACTCTGTTAAAACACATAAGTGACTTAAGAAGTTTCCTGCAAAGAAACCATTAATTAAAGATAGCTCTGATAAAGTAAGCACAAGCCAACAGAGAAAATGGCGGCACTGACCATGTGAGGCACCATTATCCCTAACAGTGACCCTCGCCTTGAGATATAAACTAAGGAGGGTGTGAAGCGATTACACTAAGCAAGACATTTAAAAACTAAGCAAGTAATAAATGAAAAGAGTGTCTCTGTTGAGAAAAGATTCAAGACAATCCAGGGTTTATTTCCAAAATAAAAAAAAAACTACAATAACATTTGAAAGGTCTTTTTACATAATACAGGGAAACAATTTGCTTACATTTAATTTGCTTAAAAATTTAAAAATAAGTGAGAAATAAATCGATTTTTAAAAGTGCCTTGAGTATGTAGAGGATTTGAAATGGATATTTAGAAATGTTTCCATGTTATATGGTTTTCTGAAGGAAGAGAGTTTATCAATACAAAATTATCACATTAAAAATACTAAAAACGGAATCTTCCAATCTGCAAATAAGCGTTTCGCTGACTTTTGAAACTTTTTGTTGAAATATAAATACACAATACCCTTCAAGAATTTTCCTTTACAATATATTGACACATGTATTATGTGAACCTTAACTTAAAAAACATTGCATTATTGGCAGATACAATTGAAAAATGAGTATCATAATTTACAAAGCCAACAACGCAATTAGCTTCTTCAGTTTGAATCTGTGAAATAATTTCAAGATATATTTACCAGCTATTGTCAACATTAAAACTAAGTACCGAAATAAACTGAACTTAAAACCTGACCATCGAATCAAGGTATGACGTAGTTTCAAACCACAATTTTTGAAATCAGTAAAGCATATTTACTCACACTGCAGTCGTTAAAAATACATATATAATGAGGTAGAGACTCCTACCTCACCCCAAATTTAAAAACTAACTCAAAATGGATCAATTATCTAAATAGAAGAGCTAAGCTATTAGAAGAAAACATGGAGATAAATCTTTATGACCTCAGATTTGGCAGTGGATTCTTATATTTGACACCAAAAACAAGCAACAAAAGAAAAAACAGATAAATTGGACTTTGTCAAAATTAAAAACTCTTGTGTATCAAATGACTATCAAGAAAGTGAAAAGATACCTATAGTATAGGAGAAATGTTTGCAAACCACTTATCTGATAAGGGTCTAGTATCCAGAATACATAAAGAACTCTTACAACTCAACAATAACAAGACAAACAGCCCAATTATAAAATGGGCAAATGACGTGAATAGACATTTCTCCAAATAGATATACAGATGGCAAACAAGCATATGAGAAGATATTCTACATCATGAGTCATTAATGAAATGTAAATCAAAACCACAATGAGATACCACTTCACACTTAATAGGATGGCTATTTAAAACAACAACAACAAAACAGGAAAACTACAAGTGTGGGTGAGGATGTGGAGAAATAGGAACCCTTATGAGTTGCTGGCAGGAATGCAAAATGTTGCAGTAGCTATGAAAAATAGTTTGGTAGTTACTCAAAAGGCTAATCAAAGAATTACCATATGACCCAGCAGTTGTACTCCTAGGCATACATCCAGGAGAAATGAAAACATATATCCACGCAGAAACAAGTATGCAAATGTTCATAGCAGCATTGTTCATAAGAGCACAAAAATGGAAACAATGCAAATGCTACTAACAAATGAATGGATAAACAAATTGTTGGAATATCCACATAATGAAATATTATTCAACGATAAAGAGAAACGAAGATACATGCCATGACTCGGATGAGATTCAAAACCATTATACTAAGTGAAAGAAGGCAGACACAAAAGGTCACATATTATGTGATTCATCTTATATGAAGCATCTAGAATTGGCAAATCCATAGAGACAGACTATAGTGGTTACCTGGAGATGGGCAAGAGGGCATGGGGGTGATGAATTAATGGGTATGGGTATTTTTCTGGGGTGATGAAAAAGTCTTGAAACCAAAGAGAGGTGAGTGGCCACTGCATAACATTGCGAATGCACAAAATGCCACTGAACTGTATACTTCAAAATGGTTAATTGTAATTAACTATTATGTGAATTTCACCTCACTTTTAAAAAAAACATGTAATAATAATAATAGTATAGTGCAAGTAAAGGATATTTTGTAGTGTTGAAAGACAAAAATTATGTAAAATATTAAATATTTCAGCTTCATCTCATTCTTCTTTCTTTTTAAATATATATCTTTTCATATAGATGTGTATGTGCTCAAAATTTTTAGGATTAAGGCATCCAATTTAAAAATGTGGATAGTGCTGTTCTAGACGCAGGGTAATAAATCTATAACTTGCACAGTGCATCCATAGACAGACTTTGTGTACCTCGGCTGAATAATATTTTAAAATTTATTTTCCATGCCTTTGTGCAGGCTATGCATTTTCTAGTTCAACACAGCCCCTTCACACTCTAGTGTTTTATATTTTTGGGGATCCAAATATTAATATTTCTTGCCCAGCACTGATCAAATAGATATTTGAATTTTCAACCCCTCAGCTAAGGATTGGGTATATCTAAGATAGTTTTACATCAATAGTTCTTCTCTGTCTGTTCTTAATTAGCATTAGAAATGGGGGGAAATGTGCTTGACTTACCCACACAAGGCAGAGAGTAGCCAAGCTCAGGGTCATGGACAAACTGCCGATCATTAAGTCTCGTCACACAGTATAAGTGGAAACAGTCTAAGCACATCACATGGCGGTAGTTGCACTGGAAAACCAGGACAGGGCTCCTGCATAGATAAAGACAGACATTTCCTCTAGTACCTTTAAGGGTGGAAAGACAACATGTGCTGTAGGACACTTCCTGTAATCCTGCAAGGTGTGTAGGGCATGCTCTGTGTCAGACCTCTACTGTTAAGTACTGAGCTCATATCACTGCTACATCTTAAAAATTGGAAGCACTGAATTAACTACATAGAACATTGATTTTCCCAATTTTTCTATTTTTTATAGTAACATATTTACTAATCAGCTGTTTAAACCTGAGCTCAGATATAACCTCTTTCTGGAAGCCTTCCTTGATTCATAATTCCCAATTAACTTACGACTCATACCATCTACTTATATATTTCTATCGATCCATTATTACATCAGAGTATTGATATGTTTCTCCTTCTTATAGACTGTGACCTCCTTGAAAATAGACACCGTATCTACTTTATATTGGTATTCTCATAGTACCAGGCATTGTAAGGTTTTGAATAAATGTTCCTTGAATTTAATCATAATAATATATAGGATGTGAACTTCCTCAAACTCAAAAGAAAAAGTACTATTGCATCAAAGTAGGTATTTAAACAGTCACTCATTGGCAAGTGGAAAACTAGAATTTAGAAACAAAAGATGATCCAGCAGAGATTTTTCTACCATAAAATTTTGTCTATTGTGCCACCTCTGTATCTCGCAAATATTCAATTTCTTAAATTAAGGTTAAGACTTACTAATAAACCAATATATATGAATCATAAAAATTTTGGATTCCTTTAAAATACTTTGTAGGAAAAAAATTCCCCTGAATAACCATGTATTTTTGCTAGCAAATGTACCACACTAGTTTATGACAAAAAGGAGACAAATTGAGTATATTGAGATCAACCTCAAGGGAATTTTAATAGTTAGAAAGTCATTGGAGTTTATTTAGACAAGCCTATTTTCTATATAATAATAACAAAATACAAAATGTTTTCTTATCTCATACTCAATTCTTAACAGATAAAACAGCTTTTCAAAAGCCCTTTCCCCAGAAAAACTGATATTAAACATTTATAATGTAGAAGATAATTTCTTAACAATTAAAAGATTGTCAAAATTTTGTTTCCCCAATTATCTCAAAGTAATATCTAATACAAAAAAAATGGAAAGAAAACAATGTTTTAATGTTATGGATTTATAGAACAATGATCGACTTAATCTGAGCAAGAGTGTCCCTACGTGCTTTTATGTACTTTCATTTCCCATCTCTGAACCTACTGAAGTCCTTTCAGAGCCGTTTCCATTTCCAGGGCCTTTTTCAATTAGGCGTTGACTGTGTTCTGAACTTTCAACCCCTTCTCTTCTAACAACTTTCCCCTTGAAGATGATAAAATGTAACACTTCCCCATTTCTAACATAAGATGCACGCATGCACAAGCGGACACACACCTTACACACTCTGTGTGACCCTACAGAGCTGCTGTATTTTACCTTCTTCTCTCAGAGCTAAGTTCTGTGAAAAATATTCTTCATTCTCGTTTTAGCAACATGGTCAACTAAGCCTCTGCAGACTTCTAATCAGCTATCAACACATGGAAACACCGGAGAAAATATGAGAACATTTACAAAAATGTTCCTAGGTATAACAAGGTTAAAAAGAAAGCTTAGCAATTATGCTATAGAAGAAATAAAAAGAAAACTTATAAAGCCAAAGCAGTCAGCAGATGAACTACTGCCAGTGTCCCAAAGAGATGTTATGGTGCGTGGTTTGCAGCCATCGGTCTAGCAAATGTGTTCTTTTCCATCTCTATTAGAAGGAAGAATAGAAAGAGTTCTCTTTCATGTGTGGACAACAGTACACATTTATCATTTTGTCATTCAGTTAAAACGCGGTCCAAAAGAACTTACACCATCTAGACAATCCACAAAATGTCGACTGTTCTACTTTATTGATGACATCCAGCTATTTGAAACACATTAGCAAGAAATGGTAAATACATTGGAGGCCATGGTGTGAGATAAACTCTATGCAGATTCAGGGGCCCCCCACATTATGGAAGGTTTTAGAGGTCCAATGTTTGGGACACATCCAACACAATATTCATCTTGTCCCTCCCCCCACTAAGAATGAAGCACAAGGCAATTGCAGGCTGTGTGGCGCCAGGGATTCCATTGCCACAGAGTGAAGCACATCCTCCTGGGGACACAGGAAGAGCCCTACTGAAAATTAAGCTACAGCAGTACCAGTTCACTTCAACCTCCTTGAACTGAGATATAGGCAGGAAGGAAATTGACCAACTGGCAGGGGTAATTGATCCTAGTCATCAGGAAGAGGAAGAGCTGCCGTTACACATGGGGGCAGGGAAGAATTCACATGGTATCCAGGTGGCCCACTGTGACATCTCAAGTGCTCTCCTGTGCAATTTTAATGGCAAATGGACAAGGGCAGCAGTTAAGGCTTGAGAAGTGTATGGTGACCAGGGCTTGAGACTCCTTTAGGATATAGATTTATTATATTGATATATATATGCAGATATAGATAGATATAGAATAGGTACATGTATATGTTGGTAGATGCATAGATAATGAAATAGATGTAGAAAATGTAGAAACATGCATGTATTTCATACAGAATTATCAGTCAAATTTCTTGATATAGTTATGAGGCAAGATTGCTCCTCTCTTAAGAATATTCCTAGTACTTATGAAAAAGTTCGGTGAGGGATAAACATGACACCCATATAAAGGTTATTAGGTTAATCATCTTAGAAATGAAATGAGTAGAAATCATTTCATGGCTAGAGAGGCTACATAATTAACTTCCTAAGTGCTAGATAAAAGAGGAAAAGGGGCAATAGTAGTATTTATGAGCACCCACTTTGGGTTAGGAACCTTGCTAGGGACTTTACATTATTTTTTTCCATTTTGTCCCCCTGAAATAAACCGCCCCTACTCTACCATTCATCTTGTTCCCTTCTCTGCCTCCATCTAATCAGTTGGGAGTATCCTTTGCTATCCTAGCATACTTCTAGTTCCTTTACTCCTAGACTCGTGCTCATTGTAATCCACCCCTGTAGTATATACTAGCCTTTATATTCAAATCAAAATCCCAAATTTCAAGGTCCAGTTCAAAACTAAGGACCTACGAGGAACTTTCTCTGGAGCCCAGTTCTTCACTGGTTCTTCCATTTTTCTTTACCTTTTTATCCATAAGGTCTATCCTCAATGGATTTCAGATAGTACCTTCACTTTTATTCAGTGTTTTATACATTACCCCCTTAGCTGTCAACATTAAACACGAAACAACAGAAAAGTCATGAAACAACAGAGGCCATATTTGTTTCATCCTTTCATGACTCATGCCTCACTAAATACAGTATTGAGCACAACATAGTTAAGCAATCAGTAGTTACTGATTGTGACCAGTGGATAAATGAATAGAATGTTTTTATTTTATAGTTTCTCTGCTCCTATTCATACATTTTTCACTCAATTACTTATTGAGCATCTACTTTGGATAAAGTAGGCACTTAATAAATTCGTGAGGAATATAGCCCTGAGTGAATGCATAAGTACTTTATAGTTGTAATTGGTTTAAGCACTGGGAAACAAACACATATACACAATCACAGGGCATAGCCTTGGGACACAAGATGCACGTGGAACAAATATTACAAGGAAGTATATGTAGTCACCATACTCCGGTGCCACAGAAGTTAGGAGACAAGGGAAGTATGAGTCACCACGGCTCCATTAGGAACCTGAGCTGAATTTAAAGGAATGAGAAGATGGACACAAGGTTACTGGATAGAAGCATGGTATCTGGGCAGGGAAGAAAATACAGACATGGAAAAGAATTCTTGAAACAGAAAAGCAATCAGTTGGGCTCATTGAGAGGATGTATCAGGAAAAGAGTGAGAGAAGAGACGAAAAGCGTTGGGGACAGAGCAGACACTGACCAGGGACAGTGGTAGGGGCGATTCTAGGAGACAAACCTAGAATATGACCTCTAGGTCAGGGAATTCACTGAAGGCTTCTAAGCATGGGAAGAGAGAGATGTTTTATAAGTTTAATTCTGAGGAAAGTTTGGAGGGAAAGAAGCTGGAAGTCATGAGAACTGTTTGGAGGTCATTTTAATAGCTTAGACATGAGTTACTAAGGAACTGGACTATGGTGGGCTGGTGGTTCCAGAAATGGAAATGAGAAGATGGATGGGAGGGACATTTCTGAGGACCTGCCAAGACTTATCTTCTCATGGGTCTTATGTTCCTCCCTGCATTCCTCTGTGCCTTTTGCTCAAATTATATATAAATGTTAATTGACCAATCTGGAAAATGAATTTATCCCAATGAGCCAGGTTACAGAGAAGTTAATCAAAGATTAAATAAAGTTCTCAATCATATGTAAAAGAAATTATAAATGCTGTACTTGGCATTACTGAAGAGTTATTTGTAAGCAATGGTTTCCCTGCTTTTATTAAAGGAGTGATCCAAAGATCCTCTGTTCACAGAATATTAGGCATCATTGAAGGAGTCTCAGTGAAAAATACGGCAAGCCATTCATGTAAACTACACAAAGTAGAATATTGCTCCACAGTCCAAATGTTTAAACTCTTGTAAAGTTAGTTCTCTAGTGTCTAAAGAATAGTATCGATGTTTTCATATTTATCTGAGAAAATGTTCAGTTTAATCTGCTCTCTACCTCATTTGTTCACATGCACTCTCTCTCATTTGCTCTCCTTCACTCTGTCTCTGCCAAAATCTGTCTGTCTATTTCCCCGTCTCTGTTTGTCTGATTCTTTTCCACATGTACATCTTCATTTATACCCATTAAGAAAGAGGCTGCGGTTCCAAGTTCTCAACTGAATGTGACATATATTGAATGCAATGTGCCAGAAATTTCAAGATATGTGAAGATAAGGAAGCAAGTCTAAACTCTAAAGGAAACGAAAATCTAACAGAGTTGGTAGGAAAGAGACCCAAATAATTGAGATACAGGGCAGGATATTTTAAGTTATGTTAGAGATGTAGGAAATATT